AGTCCGACTACTGTATAGGGGAAAATGTGGAAAATACTATGGGGCTTCATGTTTTTCTCACTGATAACATGATGCAATGGGAAATATGAATCATCCCTGAGCCTCACAGCTCCAATCTGTAGTTTTTCCTCCCCACAAAAATGCTTCTACTTTTTAAAATCCTATTGCATTGGTTCAAAGGGTGTGATTGCTTTCATCCAATGCACAGAAAAAAAATCCCAATTAAATACACAAAACAATGTTTGGCAAAGCTCTTTCCCCCTCACATCTTGCCTCATTAGCAGTGTGTGTGCATGCATACACACACACACACACACACACACACACACACACACACACGCGCACACACACACGCACACACACACACACATGCAACACATACAATGGTGCCTCGACTTACAAACATAATCCGTATTGGAATGGTGTTCATAAGTTGAAATGTTCATAAGCCGACACACCATTTCCCATAGGAATGCATGGGAACGGGATTAATCTGTTCCAGCATTAAAAAAAATACCACAAATAAAAATGAATAGAGCCAGTCCCATGCTGGGACTACAAAAAACAACAACACACAAATCCAAGAACAAAACAACACAGCACAGAAACATAACCCCCCAGTCCAAACCCACCCTCCAAACCCCACTGAGAACAGTTTTTTAAAAAGGAAAAAGCAGCACCTTACCAGTCCAAAGCCTCCCAGGCTTCCACTGCTTCTGTGAGTGCCACCGGCCGGAGGCTTAAGCCTGGCGGGGTGCTTCGGCCGCTTGCCTCCCGGCTCGCCTCCCATTTGCTCCACGCCACCCTCCCTGGGTTGATGGTGGGAAATTCAAATGGCAGAGGGTCTGACTGACTGTTCACTCTCTGACTCCGCCTCTTTTTACATATCTCTCGGCTCCTCCTCTCAGCAACATTAGCCTGCAACATGAATATTCATGACTACTTAACATAATAAGGGTGAACGTTACAGCCCCTCTGTCCGCATGCCGAGGTCGAGGATCGGGATCCCACCATCAGGTGCAGTAAGACCCCTGGCACTGCCTCCCCCCACCGTTGCATCCCTTTCCCTAACAGTTGGGGCAAAAGAGCTACAAAGAAGCACCTTCTTGTCACCAACAGTTAGTAAATTTAAATTTCCCGCCCTTGCCCCCCTGCCTTTTTGTGTTCATAAGTGGAAGCTCCATTCACAAGTCTATGCAAAATTTTGCAAGCGGAGCTGTTTGTAAGTCGAAATGTTCGCAGGTGGGAGTGTTCATAAGTTGAGGCATCACTGTATATCATCTGAAATCCCCATTGATTCAACGGGCCTCTTCTACATAGACATTTAGTACAGATTTTCTATGAAAGGGAATGTATAGGTGAATGTATGTGCATACAGAGAAGCAAAGAGAGATGGCATTTAACTGAGGCTAGTTATCTGTTTATCTAAAGCTTATACTGTAAGGATTCCTTTTTATCATTAAAGTTCCACTAAAGAAAGAAAGAAAGAAAGAAAGAAAGAAAGAAAGAAAGAAAGAAAGAAAGAAAGAAAGAAAGAAAGAAAGAAAGAAAGAAAGAAAGAAAGAAAGAAAGAAAGAAAGAAAGAAAGAAAGCACAGTGATGTAATGTACATTGTGATTTGTCCCAAGATGTATAAAAGACATGTGTAAAGGGGACAAGTTATCTGCTGTAAGTCAGATCATTTATTCTGTATTCTGTATATGTATCATGTTATGCTGCCTTTTTCATGTCTAAAATCTAAGATGGTGTTCTTATGTTTATCTCTAAATGGACTCTGCTGAATTTTACTCTCTTAAGTGTCACTGCAACTATATATTTCCTAACACTGCTTACATCCAGATACATTAACAAATTCCCAACATGTCAAACAAGTATTCCCAGCACCACCTTCCGGCTGCACCCCTCCAGGAAGGACCAGAACCACTGGAACACAATGCCTTCAAGTCGTACCCTAGATAGGTGACCAAGAAAAATACCGTGGTCAATAATACCAAAAAGCTGCTGAGAGGTCGAGTTGAACACTTTCTCCCTGTCTACTTCCCAGTATATATAATCCATCAAGACAACCAAAGCTGCCTTGTTCAATCAGGTGGCCTAGGACAGACATCTCTAGTTAGTTAATTGTAAGAGATAGGATTTTTGGAATTTTTTTTTACTACAATCCTAAAATTCTTAGTTCTGGGAGTTCACCTTACAGATACCTAATGTGGTGGAAGAAAGGCCTAAACTGGAAGGCTCTGAGGCCTGGCTAGGCTTAGTCCCACAAAAGCTTCCTGTTCCTGCCCAGTGCTAGTTTGGAATTTTCTTTTTAAAGAGGAACCTAGGTGGAGCTAGGCCAGGGGTCAGGGAACTTTTTTACCTTTTACCCACCCACCCCCAAATTTATATACTATGACATTACCCCCTTGATTCAAAAGGAAGGAAATCATAAATTATTTGAATTAAAAATATTATTGGATCTACACAGGCTGTGTACCGAACTAGCAGGATGCACCAAATTTGATAAAGATGTGCACTATTTTTGCTGGAACACATTGCACTCCAGCCATGGTGTGGTATAGGGAGTAGTAAGGTGTCCAACATGCCTA